TAGAGCAGGGACAGATGTATGTAAGCATTTTGGCTCTAAAAAGAGAAGGTTATCTGTCTACCATCTTTCTGTTTTGTGTCAGGCTTTGGCAGAAGCTGGAGGAAAGAGGATGAACATTGTCAGTACAAACACATCCCTCTTTTTCTTTTCTTCTTTACCTTCCAAAGATCCTTGATAGCAGCCTAAGCATTTGTTGAGCTGTTCCTGAGTCTGCTGGAGAGATTACTTGCATGACAGACAGAAATGCACCAAGGTCATAACAAAGTACTTGACAAAAAGCAACACAGAGAAACCCAAAACCAAAAGAATTCTGGACAGAGCAAGGCCACTTAGCCATTGCAAACTGATATGGTATCATTTCATAGAATCAAGGGATGGCTTGGGTTTGAAGATACCTCAAGGATCATCAGATTCCAGCCCCTCACCTGCAGGCAGGGTTGCCAGTCACTAGATCAAGTGCTAGATCAGGTTGCCTAGGCCCTATACAATCTGTCCTACTACACCTCCCGGGATGGGGCATCCACAACATCTCTGGGTGGCCTGTTCTGGCACCTCAGCACCCTCCTAGTGAAAACTATCCCCTAATACCCCGTCTCAACTTCTCTCCTTTCGCTTAATCTCTTATTTTGTGCAGAACCCCTCACTGCAGTAACAACTTACATAATTCAGTTTTGACAAACCAGAGCAGAAGGAAGAGGGGTGCCTGTGCTTTTCTTCACCAAAGTCCTTGTTCTTGCTTCCTGACACTGCAGAGACCTGTAACATCACACTTAACTTTCTTGAACAGCCCCAAGGCTTGGACTTGCAAGAAACAGAAGCAGATCCTCTTGACCTTAAGTTACTATTCACAAAAACAACTGGCAATATGCAACTCTCTCTTAGGGAGGGACTAAATAATTTTAACATAACACGACTGGTTCTAGTGTCCCAAAACTTACCAGCTTTTGATGGTGCATGAAGATGGGGTTCTGGCTGGAGCCATAGCTCAGAAAAGTGTAAACTGACCACAAAAGCCATGCTATTGAAGAGAACAGTTTGGTCACCTGGTTATTTTAGGACACCAGGGTCAACGGTGTTCAAATCTGGTATCAGCTGTCCACTGTCAGAGGCAGCAAGCTGATCCTCTACTTGATTGCAATTAACTAAAAATTGGTCTCCAATTAACACCACTGGTTTTTACTGAAGATAACCACCTAGACTTTGCCAGAGTACTTGTGCTTGAGCTCTCTGTGCTGTGGTGTATTGACTTACCAAGCAGCTGCTCTTCCATGCTGAATTAGCGGGTGTAAAATTAGTTGGGTTGCATGGAGGAAGAGCTGCCCTAGTTAAAATCCTTCTGCCTGCAAGTAACCATCCGTGAACGTAGAGTGAAATTCACACCGCCATCTAGCGATCGAATATCTACTTGCTGCGCTGTGCATCAAAAGCGATACCCTGAAAAATGAGCAAAGATTTTGATTTCCTGAAGATAAAATCTTACATATGCTTATTCTTGCACTTAAATGGCTTCCTGAGCACCAGTGATGGGTGACACATGTGATGGACTGCAGAGAGCCTTAGCATGAAGGAGTTTGCACAGGATAACTTAAGCACAAATCCAGATAACTTGAGGTACCTACATCTGGTAAAACTTCAGCTCTTCAAGTGAAGAATATGGACTCCTAAGAAAATGTATGCAGCTTTTACATGCAATAGTACAATGCTTTTGTTTTATTTGTTCCTTTGTTTCCAAAGCAGGTAGAAGGAGGCACAGAACATGCAGAGTTGTTCCTCTCCCAACAGCATCATTTCTGCTCCAAAAATAAGATCCTTGTTTTGTCTTGTATCTGAAGAGCGCATATTCTTAAGTCAACTGATGCATTAAGATAAAAGGATACTGAGAACAGAGAAGAGATGAATAGAGAATATGGCCAGGTCAGTTTTAAACTATAATTTCTGCCAGGAACAGACCATCCCTATTTCAACATTCCAGCATTAGATAAGCTGTTGTGGAGACAAACAGATGGTTGTCTACTTGATAGATTTCTACTCCCTTCTTCATAGCTTTTATTCCCTGTTCAGCTGCCTTGAGTTGACTCCTATGCAGTGTGTATTCATCAAAATGTACACAGAGTACTTTGAAATGGCAATGTTATTAATGAACAAAATTATACAGAGCAGCCCAAGACTGTCAGGGTTTTGAAAAGAACCTGTTACAAAGACAAAAGTAATACTGATGTCACCTTCAAATGCTATTTGGTACTTTTTGTTCCCTTTGCTGTATTGTACCAAAAGTCTGCCAGTACAGCCCTACAGGGAGATAAAATATTTTCGCCTTGAAAATATTTAATAGAGATGATCACTTACAAGAAAGACTAAGTACTGTAGGATACATGGCACCCTTGGGCTGAAAGTGAAAAGCTGTACTGCCACATAAAAAGGATTGTCAAAACTCAGCCAAATATTCTCCTGCCAACTTTTACAAACCCATTATGATGAGCAGAAGATATACTAGCGAAAGTTGCTGCCACCCCAAGACCCACAGAATAACCACAAACTAAACCAGACTCTTATGATGCAAGCTGCAAAGTCCTATCCCACAACACCAACATTTGCAGAAGGCACCAATATTGGAAAAGGACATGGGCTCAGCTGAGGAACATTTTTCATCGTATTGCACTCACCATGCCATATCTGTGAGAACATCTTAGACGTGGCCCAAGGTGATGATATTCTCTTTCCACTCACATGCATGAGGCAGGAAAACTGCAGCTGCAGTGTCACTGCCTGTTTTGATTTGCACACAATTCCACCTGAAGTTCCAGTTACATGGATTTACAAGCAACAGTGGTACCAGTACAATATTTCATTCAGACTGCTACTGTGCAGGAGTAGAATTTTACACAAGAGTCATACCACTATATACAATCAGTGACACTAAGTTTTACTGATGAGCCCTTAGAACACAGCAGTTCCATGCATCCCCTGATCATGGCAGTCAGTAGCAGTGCCTGCAGATTAGCCACCTAACATTTCCCACTGCAAGGCCCTACTTTTTTTAACTCATACATATTGTCAAACTTCCATTTTAATGAGAAAAATTCTGACTTGGGCATTCTTAAATCTAAAGGCTTGGTATCTGCAATTGCAAATTGGTTGGGCAGCATGTCATTTTCACAGCTTTGAAAGCTCAGCATTATGGAGCGTGGCTGGCTACCACAGAACCAAAGCAACTCTTGAGAAGAGTTTTGGAGCAGCCTGGCAATCCAGTAAGAGTATAAGAGTAAACATAAAGATTTGAAAGGAAAAATAAAAATTTGTTAAATGTAATAACTTTATATTCTATTATTTTTTTAACTGAACTCTAGTCTCCATCAGGACTCAGCAGATGGGTCTCATGTTTCATTTTGCTGTTGGGATACATTTCTGGAGTGCCTATCTGTTGATTTTTCCTCTGATAAAGTCAGCTCTTGGAGAAGAGGTATTTTCTTTCCAAGTATTGTTACACTTGTGTAACTGGCATTAAACTTGTCAGCAGATACTGACTCCTTACTGAATACTTCTGGACATACTTTCCAGTGTGAGAAGGCCCAAAGTTATGAAACCATAAAAGTCCAAGAGAGTGGTCAGAGGATCCCCCCGTACTTGACACAGAGGCACATAAGAGATGTAACAGACTACAGAGATCACAGCAGGCACAGTTTTTCATCTTGCTCAGAAGAATTATTTTCATTGAAATGAATGCTTGGATGCTTGTGTTTGCAAAGAACCATCTGGCTTACTCCAATCAAACCACTATAAAAGATAGGGAATGCAGTAGCATCATATGCAGAGGCAAAGCCACCGCTCTGTGTCCTCGCGATTGATGATGTTTATTCCATGTCTTCGTGAGCTTTCTTGACTGGTAATGGCAAATACCTTACTTTGCCCTGAAGACCTTGAAAATGCTCCTGCCAGTGTAGTAATACAGACCTACTGTAGTTTCAGTTTGGAACAAATTACCTGGGTAGAAATATATATGCTTTGTTCTATGCTAGAAATTCAACTGTGGTTAGAAAATATATATAGATATAGGTAGATAGGTATAGCAGATAACAAGTTTCCAAAAGCTTGAAGCTTATGTCCATTCTAAACATCTAACATTCTAAACTCTACAAAAATGCCTACTTTGGGAAAGTGGCAAAAACATTGTAAGTTTATAAACATTTATTACATTACACATAATTACTTCTGTTCCCTGTGAATTGCTTTAAATCTGAAGAATACATAGGATTAATGTATTTCAAACTTCTGAAATAATCTCCACTCACTAACATTTAATTATAGCAACAGCTTTTAACATTTAGAATCAGGAAGACTGCTCATATTATGGAATAAATATTATTATTTATTTCTTCCCTCTACAATTGTTTGCATGAAAATATTTCAGATCAGACAAGCACTCTTTGCTAAGATTAAAGTTTACAACAGCTATTTACTGGAAATAGGATAGGTACAGCAGGCTTCTTGTACAGGTATTCACATCCCTCACAGTTCTGTATTGCAGGTAACATCTTTCCTAAGTGTGAGGAAAATCACTTATTGGCTGAATAAATGCATGGAAAAGACACAAAAAAGGAACAAGAAGATTGAGGAATGTAATGCAGATAGGTCCCCAATATATGGTTTTTTCCCCTTCCAGCTCAGTGACGATATTTAGCATAACCAGTTAATTATGATTATTACTGATCTGTAATCAGAGAAATCTGAGGTCATAAAGGCGGAAAACAAAACAAAACTTCACATTTTCAGTGGTCTGAACAGAATTCCAAGAAAAAACTAAGCAAATTTTATAGGATCTTCAAAGCATTCTTATTGATTGTGCAGACAGGAATTCAACCTACCTACCTTGAAAACATTCAGTGCACTGAAAATTATTGTGATAAAAATACACCAGAGCCAAAAAACAAAACAAAGAAAACAACCCGCCTCACCCCCAAAAAAGAAAAAAAAACATCAACAAAAACCCATAGATTTAAATGTACATAAAGCAGACATTCTATTTTTAATCTCAACTGGCATCTGAGAAGAACACACCATGAACATTCAAAGATGAAAAAAAAAATCACTAAGAATTTCAGATAAATGCTTTAACTGTTTTTATTACAAAATGACAGTTGGCATTAATTGCATACAACAGTACATACTGCCAGTGTTGCATAGCTGCTCTCACGTAAAGAAACAGCTTCAGCACCTACTTGTACACTAATCTGAAGTAGGTTACTTTATATCCCCTATGCGTAGAATTAATTGCAGTCATTACTGCAGCATCTGACATGACTGTTAGAAACAAGTAGATAAAAGTAGGTGTGAAAAATTGGTTTAGTGCTTTATAAATAGCAAGTATAGCTTTATGTATTTGTTGTTACCTCTAGTTGGTACATTTAAATTATTAAGCTCTAATTCATTTTTCGCCACATCTAGAGATATCGCCAGTAGTAGAGGCAACTCAAGAAACTATGCAGCACTATGCAGTCCTCTTTTATTGCAGCAATACCTCTTTCACCAGGAGAATGCTATGATGCATTTTACAACAGTTGATGTCCCCTACTGAGTATTTTTCTACACAGCCTGAGTGCTTAACATTATTTCTTCCAAGTTCAGTTATTGCTGCTTGTCCGTCATCGTGCTCTGCTCAGTGCTGGAGCTGTGCTTGTTCTTAAGTGACCTCCCAATGTATCTCCAGTATTCTTTTCGGATAGTGTCTTTCTCTTTGGCCAGGATTTCACACAGCTAAGAAAGAAAATTGAGACATTGTGGGGTTACACTAAAAACTGAAGCAATCTCTAATTATCTTTATACAGTGCAATGGCAGTCCAGGTCAGCCAGTCTTATAAATAATTTTTGGCAACACAGTTTTTTTTGTTTGGTTTTGGTTTTTAACATATTTGTAGCAAGTGTCCAATGACTGCAGATGGATGCCAAATCCAAGTGGCAGGCAACCAGCTTGACAGTGCCCCAAAGTCTCCAGTCTTATCTTAGCTACAGCTGCTTCCTCTGAGATTCCTTTTCACAGCTACTGCTTGTATCTGCTCCAGACTATCCAGCCTACAGCATAATTCAAGGAATTTTTAATTCTCTGACAAACTTGGTTGTCTCTTGGTGGAACAGTAGGTTGTAAACCCCTGATTAAAAGCAGCAGAGGAACACGAGATATCTCCTAATGAACTGACAGGAGATATTCTGTTGATAGTTATTAAGTCAGCAGACTGTCTTCTAAAGATTCTCACAGTAAGTCAGTATCCTTCTCACACAACTTGTTAGAGGTGATCCTATACTGGTTCAAATTCTGACTTTTATTTTCACCTGAATGGGCAATGGAGCATAAATCAACCCTTCTCAAAGGACATGACATATAAAATCTATATAGTAGGAGCACAGCCCACAGATGTCCTTGCCAATTCCCTCACTATACAAATGATGTTGTCACTTAGTGAATCAGGATGCAGAAATAGCAGCTCCAAAGCCTAAATATATGCAAAACCCAAACTCAGTGAAATGTTATTAAATGGAAGGTACAACTACCCTTATTTAGACTGATCCTGGAATACAGCAAAAGGATTTATTGTTCTCTTGTTCTCTTTCACTGAGAAAGAACAATGTTGGAACACAGAGACCACAGGCAAGAACTGTAGCTACAGTTCTAATCACAGTGAGTTACTGCACACCTCATAGAGTGAAAAAACTGTTCTTACAAAGATTGCACTGCAAACCACTGCAAGGATATCCCAAAAAACAAAGAACATGGAGATAAAAAACACTGCTAGCAGTCACTTATTCTCAGCAGGAAGTGATGCCCAACTCTCCTTAGTGGTGCTCCCAGTGTCCGTTGGCCTTTAAACTAATTCCATAAGCTTTTTAAGAAATAACTATGTACAAAAGGAGCTTGAGTACCCAATAAGATATAAGTACTCTGAGAACAAGGTTCCCTAACTTACGAAGAAAAATATGTTTAGCATTGGAAGCTTTGCTTATTCAAACTTATTCTGAAGGTGATAATAGAAATCTTCCTTTATTATCTGGTGAAGAAAAATTACAGTGATTTGGTAACTGACAAGTTACTATTCATAGGTAATTAAACAAGACATTTATGATTACTTGGCTTTGATGTCCACTTCCTCATAGAGATGCCATGCTTAACAAGTGACCCGTTCCATTTACAAAATCCAATCCCATTGGTCTGAATATAAAACACGAGAACAATAGATGGCATCCCTGAAAGCAAAACCAAATCCTAAGTACCTCCAATGCCTTATTTAATGTTTCTTCCTTGTTTTCACACTGGTTTTCAAGCATATCTTCATATATGTCCACAAGAAAGGCAATCAGATAAGGTGAACTGTGGCTGGGCTGTAAACTCAACAATTGCTCCAGCAGATTTGGATACTTAGAAAGACCACGATCCTGCAGAATCCTGAAATATAAGTAAACAGTCTTAAAATGTAACACTGGGAAATTTGATGAGAATTGGTTTGGTTATTACTCCTTTATTTAATGACCAGTACAGATGCAAACACAAGCAAGGCAGTAAGGAGGAAGTATAATTATGATGCAGCAATAGCATAGCTTCATGTTGTAGCACACAAGTAAAATTATGCTCAACCGAACAGAAATTAGATTGAAAGCATGCTTGCCCCCCAACAGATAACTCACCCTTTTAAATAGTTCCAAGCACTCTCATTATGTGGTACAGCTGTAATCATTTCAAGAGTGTATCTGTGAGAGAAAGATAACAGCTCATGAAGGTAAGCACTAACAACTCTGTTAGAAATTCCTTGAATATATTCAGATACTCCTAGGTATATCCCTTTAGTCTGTATTTCAGAATCTTGTTGTAGGTTACCACAGCTGATTCCCTGATCAGAAATATCTGGCAATATAATCACCACAGATCTCAAGTAGGCAGATATTATAAGAACTGTTTTAAATTCAGAAGTGTATCCATTAGGTGAGATTCACACAATGCTGAAATAGCTCTCACAATTTTGATTGTTAACCCTACGAAACAGTACTACCTAAACCATTGTGGTACAAGAAATGCTCAGCAAGTCTGAACTTTAAGACAGTCTGAACTACCCTGATAAGGACTGGAGTAATAGAAACCCAGAAGAGCTGCATTATTATTATGACTGGACGTGGTATTTGTTGAACATCTGTTATAAGGCTACCTCTAAGCATACCCCACAGAAAGGCACAGCCTAAATCTCAGCTCACGGCCTTCTGCTGCAGTTCTGTTGAAGAAGCTGTTAGGTAACTCCACTAAAGCAAAGAAAGAACAAGCAGCTGCCACACAGTTACAAAGTCAGGTTGCATCTTCACAACATAGCTTTGACCTAGTGCCCTTCCCAAAGCATCTGTAAGTATTCAGCTAATTTGCAGAGACAGCAGATACTGATAAACAGTTCTATAAGCAGCACTACCAAAAAGGTATACCAGAGCCTTTCTCACCCTTCGGCAGTCAGCATCACAAGGACTGAGAGCATCTCAACACATCAAGTACCCCAACCACTGTTCTAGAACAACACCTGTGAAGTCTTTAATTGACAGGCTGGTTCTTCAGATAATCTCCACTATGATTATCTTGAATACAGCACCAGCTTATTGTACCATGTTCTATATTCATTAATACACAGACCGAAGGAAGCAGATTTAACTTGTATACAGAAAAAGCTGGAAGCATCCAATCCTCAGTTATGGAAATTACTCCATTAATATACAAGAACACTACAAACTGGATATGAACTTCAACTTGCATCAGTATGCTAAGACAACCACAAAAGTTTGGTGGATGGGATCAACTATGAAGAGTCTACCACCAGGCCTATTCAAAGCCTCAGTCTTTCCTTTAAAGAATAACTCCCAAAAACTTCAGGACATTTTTCATTGCTTCTTCACTTTAGACCAGGTGTTCTCATAACCACCAACCCTGACTAGAAGCCTGAGATGTAAGAAACATACAAGGAGGCTTCCCCTACCACCACATGCAATAGAAATGCCTAGGAACTCTCTCTTTTTCACTTATTAATGTACCGATCATGTAACCCTGAATTTTTTTTTCCTGTTGCTAGCAGTATTAAATTCCTCATAAAAGGCAATTTTTCTCCCTGGAGTTCATATCCAAGTTATCTTTAAATCACAGAGACTACTGAAACAACAGTTCAGTACAATACCAAAGAGTGCCTCTCCTGCCAAGCTTCCTAGTTCAGTGTCCTGCCTGGGATCCAGTGCACAGCATAAGCAGTGCCAATGCCACCGATTTTCTGCAGGCTGATCCACTCTAGTTAGCCAGTTATAAAAAAGCCCAACAATTTGCCTCCACAAAAGGAGCAAGGTAAGAAGAGAACTCCATCATAACAGCTTCTTGAGGATAAGAATTTTACACAGTGACATGGAATGCTTTGGAGTAAGAGGGACCTTAAAGATAACCCATATCCAACCCTCCTGCTGTGGGCAGGGCTGCCACCCAGCAGATCAGGCTGCACAGAGCCCAATCCAACCTGGTCTTGAACTCCTCCGGGAATGGGACATCCTTCTATGGGCAGCTTGTGCCAGGGCCTCACTGCCCTCTGAAAAATTTCTGCCTCACATCTAACCTGAATCTTCTTCTTTTGAGTTTAGAACTGTTTCCCTTCATCCTATCACTATCAGACCACATAAAAAGTTGATCCCCATTCTGTTGAGAAACACCTCTCAGATACTAGAAGGCCGCAGCGAGGTCTCCTTCGAGTCTTGTCTTGTCCAGGCTGCTTTAGTACTGCTTAACAAGTCACTGGTACTGCAGACATCTAGATGCATTCTGAATAGAACTACAAAGCCCACAGCGGTTGAGGCCTGTCATAGTACTTCTCTGCTTGCATATAATTGAGATGGCTTAATATGGGAATGAACAGTTTTACTAACTGGACTTCTCTGTCCAGAACTGCTGGATCATCATAGCCGGTGGTGTTGAAAATTACAAAATATCTTTGGTTCCAGACAGAGTTGTTTCTCACATCTTCCCTTAGAAGCTGATCTACATATTCCAGTTCATTGCCCCACAACTTGAACTCCTAAAGAAACAGAAGGAGGGAGAAAATCAATCAAAACTTTTTGTTTTTAGAACACATTCTTCTTAAACATAAATGCTCTGTTAAATACAGAGACATTTACAAAAAACATCAACATAAACTTCAAAAGAAAACAAGGAAGGGTGTACTGCGAACATGCTATGTTATACAGTTACACTCAAGGGCATGAGTTAATCATTAAATTCACACACAGAAAAGGAAGCAAACAGCAGGTCTCCTTCAGCTTGCTTTTTAAAAAGGTAGTTTGTATCTAAATTCTTTCATTCAGTACAATGCAACTATTTTCTCTTTCCCCGCAGCTTTAAGAAACAATATGCCAAGTGCCGTACAGGATGCATTTAAGATGTCAAACTCTACAACCTGAGTATAGGTTATGTAAAAGCATAATCAGTTCTAGGTGCACTATACCTGAATAACCCACTGTCTGTGTTGCCAAGCATGGTAATTTTTGGCATCCTGGTTAAGAATGTCAGCTATGAACTCAAGCTCTTGGGATGGATCCTGTAGCCACTCCACCAACACTCGTCTGTGATGCCTGATGACGAGAAGAGAAAGTTGTTTGAAGTGTAGGCAAGAACTTGTGTGGCTGCGTATTAAAGCAGCATTTAACATCTGCTACTACTACAAAGTATCTGTACAAAAAGAAGTGCTATGTAAAAGAGACACGTAAACAGGCGTCACTTGTCTCTGAGAAATACATGCTGCAAACTTACACAGTAACAAACTTTCTGTGACACACCCTGTAAGTACAAATTGGTCAATCACCTTATTTCAGTCAAGCTGTGTTTAACTGAGTAACATCCCCACTTCAACACTAATGTCAAAGGCCTCAGCTAAATAAATAAATAGTTCTTTTCTTGTCCCACATGCATTTCTCTACTAATAACAACGTGGTGCCATGGCTCCCGTGACTGGAGTGTTGTAATGGAAGGATATAGACTCTGCAGGAAAGACAGGCTGAGAAGATGAGGAGCAGTGAGCGCTCTCTGTGCCAATGACCACAGAAGTGCATGGAGCTCTGCCTGAGGACAGGTGACGTTCTGAGCCAGCTCAGAATTCACGGATTGGAATGAAAGTGAGGACAGGACTATGAGACAAAGGTGACACGGGGGTCTGTTACAGACCTCTGGACCAGAAAGAAGAAGCAAACAAGGCCTGCACAGACCGATCGGAGAAACCTCATGTTCACAAGCTTTTGATCTCACTGGTTGAGTACAGTCAGCCCAGTATTTTTTGGAGGGACAACAATGCAGTGAAGAAGTCGAGGCGGTTCCTAGAAAGCACTAATTATAACTTCTTCCTCCAAGTCACAATGGGACCAATGAGGAGAGGAGCTGTGCTGTATCTCATTCTCACCACCAAAGACGGGCTTACTGGGAACATGAAGTTCAAAGGCAGCCTTGGCTGCAGGAATCACATAACGGTGGAGTTGAAGATCCTAGGATATTCAAGAGTCACCTCCTTCAAGCTCAGCCAACAAAGAAGTAGGGCAAAAAGCCCAAGAAGCCTGCATAGATCAGCAAGGAACTCCAGGCCAAATTCAAATGCAAGAATGAAACCTTGCATTTGAAGGGTGGAAGCAAGACTGAAATTAGCCAGAGCTGTCAGGGGCAACAACTGCCTCTGCAAGTACATCAGCGCCAGAAAGAAGACTAAAGAAAATGCAGGCCCACTGTTGAAAGAAATGCGAGACCTGGTTATATGGAGAAATGAAAAGGCTGAGGGACTTCATCTGCCTTCTTTGCCTCAGTCTTTACCAGCAAGACTGATCCTCAGGAACCCTCAGTCCCAGCGGCCAGTCTGAAGGGCCGCAGCGAGGAAGAAGATCAGGTTAGGGAACACTTGAGCAAACCGGACTGTGGGCTCTGATGGGATGTACTTACAAGTGCTCAAGGAGCTGCAGGATGTGACTGCAAGGCCATGCTAAATAACATTTGCTCACTGCAGCACCTGGAAGAGGTGTCCAAAGATTAGAGGAAAGCAAATGTCATTGCCATCTTGAGGAAGGAGGACCTGGGGAACTTCAGACTGTTCAGCCTCAGCTTGGTGCCTAGAAAGGTGATGCAGGATCTAATCTGGAAACCATTTCCCAACACAAAAAGGACAAGAAGATCATTTCTACACAAAGACAATCGTGGGACTGGAACACTTCTCTAGGAGGAAAGGCTGAGACACAGGACTCTCCAGCCTGCAGAACAAAAGACTAGATGGGAATTTCAGCAATGCCTATAAATATCTGAAGGGACTATGCAAAGGAGGCAGAGACATGGTCTTTTCAGAGGGGACCAGTGCCAGGGCAAGAGGCAGTGGGCACAAAGAGGAACACCAGGAAGCATTTCAGGGTTATGCAGGTGACTGATTACTGGTAAACTTGCCCAGAGAGGTTGCGGATTCTTCCCCTCCTTGCAGATATTCCAAAGTTGCTGGGACACAGGGCAGCCTGCTCTCGGTATCCCTGCCTGAACAGGGCTTGGAGCAGATGGAACCGGGAGTCATCTCAAACATTCTGTGAGTTTGATACTGCTGTTTGCTCAATTCCCATTCATTGATAAATTCCAAGATCCAATATAAAAATAAAAAGTACTTTTCATTCATCCTTTTCTTTGTCTTTTCATCAGTTGTTGTTGTTCCATCATTTATTTTGACAGTTTAAAAACTGAAATGAAAACGAGATCTTTTATCACCATCAAATTCACAACAAATTGCTACAGAGCATATTGGCAATGATAGTGATACAACTCAATCTAACTTCTCTGCTGCCATCACTGCAGTACATGCAGGAATCAGCTTAACAAATTTTAGGATCAATGAACCTAACCTCTCCTAGACAACTGAAACACCCCGAACTACTTCAGAAGCTCTACAATCTGAAAAGAAAATGTTATTTTACCAGACTTGATAGTTCTTTGGTTGATCTTCAATTATTGCTGTAATATATTTAAGCTCCTCATAGAGATCCTTTCCCAGAGACTGCAGGAGGACCCTCCGGAAATGCCTGTACAAAAGTCAAGCATTCAAACATTGCAGCAGACATTGCTATGATTCATAAAGGAGCCTTTCTTTGCAGCTGTTCTAATAGCTACAGAATTAAAAAGAATGCCAGGAACTAAACAGCATATCTAGTTCTGTTAAAGGCCACTCAGGCAGTGAACGCTGGACAGCTGGTATGTGACTGGTTATGACATGTTATCTAAAATCACAGTGGTGACAAGTCTCAAGTCAATCTCTGTCTACCCACAGTAGTTTCAACACTGCAGAAACTGCATGGTTGTCTGCTTAAAATAATGTAAGCTCTCCATTTTTATGTGAGTTAGTGGAACAAAACCATAACAAGAGTATTTGCTGGCATTCATGATTTAAAAAGCCTTCCTCTGAATATCAGAAATTCACTACTTATTCATTATCTACTCAGAAATGGGACGGATCTTTCAAAACACAGTATTTCTAAGTATGCTACTATCTAGCAGTCAAGATAGTAACTACTGTGTTTTTACAAGTTTTCTTGAAGTCACCTGAAGACAGCTTCCCCATTTTGCCAAGGAAATACCACAGCTTAAAATTCAATAACTTACAAGATAAAGTTCTTTTTGTAGCTAGTTTTGGTTTTGTTGGATAACATCAAAACAAACTCAATGAAAACAACAAGATCAAAACCAGACAAGGAATATAGTGAGCACGGGCTACCTTAGAAGCTCAGTAAGAATCCACCATATTCCCCTGTGCAAACTCAACTAGTCATGCCCTGATTATACTAACAAAATTGTCGAGAGTCAGAAGGCACTGGCAATTACCTGACAACAAAAATAATCTTGGATAAAAAAAATCTAGGTAATCACTTACCAAACTGTATAGTTTGCAGCATTTAATTCAATGGCATCTGCTGTTAGCTTAAAAGCTCTTTCACTTCTCTCATCCTTCTGTAGGACGGCCCGGAAGTAATCATAGACATCTCGAACTAAAAAGATAATAGTATCTTATCCAAGGCTATGAGAAACTGGCTGATTAAGGGGTAAGGTTAATAACCCTCTCAAGTCACTTCCTGTTTTGTGTATCTGAAATACACCTCCATAATACCAAAGCTACAAATGGCTCTGCCAGTACTGTTTAACATGGCTAATGACATTATTACACTGAAAAGCCACATAAATGTCTTAATACACCATCTCAATAATTCCTAAAAGAACCAGGAAAGTATCTTGATACTTAGTCATACTGCTTTCTCAGATGTGATAGTTTCATATATGCCTCTTAAACTAGAGATGCCTCACTATGACAACTTTGCTATCTGCAATTCTCCTTTACATGTATGAATTTAAAATCAAACCTGAGCTACTAACATCTGATGTAAATATTCAACATCAGAAACATGCGTGAAAACATCACATGCTGCTACTGTAACACAAAAAATACTTACTATTTTCTCTCTACCAGGACAAGTACACTAGTAAATATATTACCTGAAGCATGAAGACTCGCTTTAACAGTACTAAAGGAAGACAGAAACGTAATCAATTAAAATCTTCCCCGAAGAAAGGGTTTAAAACTTACATTTTTCACTATAGATGATCTGAACCACGGGATTCGGACCGTCATTTTGAGGAACGGGTTCAATGTCTGCCCACTCTTTCCTGTCCCTGTAAGCACACACGTACATATTTTCAAGCTTTCAATGCTTTTAAAGTGCTACCCTGACTGTGAAACACACGGATCTGTGTACAGATGACTCCTTCCTCCTCCTCCTCCTCGTCCTCCTCCTCCCCCTCAGCGTATCTCCCCCACCCCCGCGCCTCCTCACGCCCGTACCGGGGAAGACATGGCCCAACCGCTCGGATGCTGCGCTGCCGCGGCCGTACCTGTACAGCACGTAACCTCCATCCTCCTCTTCTTCTTCCAGCAGCTGCCCGAAGCCGCTTTCCGGCTCCACGTCAGCACCACCCTCCGCTTGCAGCTCTGCCGGCGCCATTCCCTCCGACGCCATCGCGCCGTGCATCTGCCGCTTCCGGGGCCTGGCGGAAGTGGGGAGAGAGCAGAGGGCAGAGCGGCGACGGCAACAGAAGAGCGCCACCTGGCGCTGCGGGGTGGTAGGGCCGCCTATGTTCGCTATGTACGCGGTAAACTAAATAACAAGAGGCGAAAGGCAGGGAAGGCACTGCTTGTGCCAGAACCAGAACGCCCTGATCCCTTTCTGCAGGGCTGTTCTCCAACCCCTCGCTCCCCACACTGTACACAGAGGCAGGGCTGCCCCATCCCAGCTGCGCAGCCCAGCACTTGCTCTTCTTCACACAGATGGTGCCCACCCTCAAATTTGTCCCGATCTTGCTGCAAGGTCTTTCTACCCTCAAGAGAGTCAATGCTCCTCCCACTTTAGCATCATCCACAAATTTACTTCAAACAACTTCCAGATCTTTATTGGAATCAACAGTGAAAACACAGAAGAGAACGGGCCCTAAAATGGAGCCCTGTAGAACCTCACTGGGGGCAAGTAGGGCAACCCTCAGGCCATAGCCTGCCTTCGCTCAATACAGCCATGTTTTGCTTGTCACAAGACACTCTTATGGTCACAACACTGTGGCCATGCGATATCACAAACCACCTCCCTGCTGACTGCTATAGATATGGGTACCCCAGTACCCCAGTTGCTGACCAACTCCTGTCATGGAAGCACCTATCTGTGAGCAGGAGCTACAGAGGGAGCCTTCTCTCGCATTGTGGGAGTACTTCTGGAGGAGGATGTATCCTCCTCCAACAAAGAAGCCTCAACTTCTCGAGAGCAGCAGTGAGCCAGAGCCAATGGATGCAGATCCTCTGGAGAGCAATGTTGAACCTATGGAGGTGGATCCACCTTCATCAGGCCCGGGCAAGCAATAGAACTTCATGCTTGCCTGGAGATGTCACTACATCTGTTGGCAGTGCAGCAGGGGCTCTCAGTTTCCATCTCAGCATTGAAGAGTCACCATCTGCCAGAGCCCCTGGGCCAGCTGCTGCTCTCTGTCACCCCTTCTTCCCTGTCCCTCATCCTCATCCTTCCCCAAGACCTCTCACCTCTTCCTTCCTGAGCCCTGAGGCAAAAGGAGGCACTGGGACTGCTGTTCTCTATGCTTCTGCACCAGGACAATGGGAGGAATCCAGCGGACGGCCCTGAGCTCCCTGTGGCCTCCAGGCAAGTCCTGAGGAAGAGAGCAGGACTGGGACTGGTGTCGTCTCAGTGGCTGCGTTGGGACCAGGAGGAATGCAGCAGACAGCCCCAAGCTCCCTGCGACTTCCAGGCAGCACCAGACAAGATAGCTTTCCATTGGAGAAGTGGAAAATTTTGGTTTGGGTGGGAAGAAGGGAGGGCATTCAGCATGAAGCTCCTTCCAGGTGCTCCCTGAGGACTTTTGTACAAAAAACTGGACAACAAACCATTGAAAAGAATAACGCAGCATAGTGATAATATTAAAAACCTAAAGTTCTTTCCTAAAGCAAAACCAGTAAGTGCCTTTCTGTTTCTGGTATTTTAGAGTCTGCTCCGGTCCTCCTGGGTCCCCTCCACTCTCCCCAGAGGGAACAACATGTGTGACAAGATGTGTGCCAGCAACATGTCCTTGCAGCCCAGAAAGCCAACTGTATCCTGGGCTGCATCAAAAGCAGTGTGGCAAGCATGGTGAGAGAGGTGATCCTGCCCCTCTGCTCTGTGCTGGTAAGGCCTCACTTGGAGTACTGCATGCAGATGTGAAGTCTTCTGCCCGGGAGGGACATGGACCTCTTGGAGTATGTCCAGAGGAGGACTGCAGAAACAATCCAAGGATGGAACACCTCCCCTCTGAGAACTGGCTGAGGAGAGAAAGTTCCAGGAGAGAACCGAGAGTGGCCTTTGAGTATCTCAGGGGTGGCTATAAGAAAGGCTCTGCTCTCTCCATGGACACAGGGTGCTTGAGTTACTGATGTTAGGAATTCTTGTATATTAACTCTACTTTCTGAGCAACCATTTGTTTTTCATCCAAGCTTCCTCCAGAATGAGCACTGGATGACCTGCCCCTGCCCCTACCCCTGCCCCTGCCCCTGCCCCTGCCCCTATCCCTGCCCCTATCCCTGCCCTTATCCCTGCCCCTACCCC